GACCTTTACAATCTTACCTTCAAGGTCATTTGAAGATCAAACTTAGATAATTCAATATAAGAATGCAAAAAATATCACATTTATGTTTTGAGGGTCGCTGAATTTGAAACAAAGCTCCTTTTCACTATACTGAGTTATTTTAAGCTCACTCCAAGATAAAATCTGATTGATTCAGTCTTTTGATTGAGTAACCGGTAAAAAGTCAAGATCAAGGTCATTTCAAGTTTAAGTTAAGATGATGCCGAAACCCCGATTTTGACCAATCGAGCATCAAAAATGTAAATATAAAAAACTTTTTTACTAGACCGATTTTCAAAAAACGGCTTCCTGGAGCCCTCCGCATTGATTCTGTGAACAACTGTACTAAATTTCATGTTTATTTGGAGTCGTGGATCATTTTCACTTCAGAGATAGTTGTGCTTCTTAAGTCTTGATCTTTCGAAGGACTACGCTGAATTGTGAGACTGGTTTTTCTTTATAAGTACAGTTGGGCACATATGTCCTTGCAAAGTCGGTAACCCGTCTGGTCGGGCCTGGAAAAAGGTTAAATAGTCGGTAACCCGAATTGTGAGACTGGTTTTTCTTTATAAGTACAGTTGGGCACATGTCCTTGCAAAGTGTGAGTGTGATGTGAGCCGATTTCCACTCTTGAAACGATTTTCTACAGTTGTTAGATGTTCTTGCAGGTATGTTGAAGCAGTAATCGGATTTGCGTGATTGCTTAGTAGAGCAGTATCACTCGCATATGACGGGGTTACCGACTATTTAACCTTTTGACAAATCAACCCGACAATTCATCCGGGACATTTCAACCCGAAGACAATTCATCCTATGACAATTCATCCGGACGACAAATCATCCCGAAAAAAAAAATTGTGAATAAGTATAAAGAAATGTTGGATACAAAAATTGTGCAAGTAGAGAACACGATTTATTATGTTATCTTAACACGACAAAAGAAATAACAATTGAACAAGTCGAACTTAGAACAAACATGCCATCATAAATAACAAAAAAATTAACACCTTTTTTTATTTGAACTGAAAAACACACTGACTATTACGCTGGCTTAAAACAAATTTCAACACCATATTTAACGACGTTAATACACAGACACACAGGACAAGACTGAGCGGCATAAGTAAATAAGCTGCTCGAAGTGAGCTGAAATCACACATAATATAATGTTGATACTCACACACACATACACCTTCTGGTATATAATCTGCTCGGGAGTGAGCTGAGAACACCCAATATCACGTATAGTCACTCACAAATGCTAAAATCGAAGGAACGGGAGAAAAATGATATAAAATAAAAGTATATTTTTATTGAGGATGAATAGTCGCCCAGGATGTTTTGTCGCGGTTGAATAGTCGCCCAGGTTGAATTGTCGCGGTTGAGTTGTCGCGGATGAGCTGTCGCAAGATGAATTGTCAAAGGGTGAGTTGTCCTGATCCCGACCAGACAGTGCGCTCGTGCGGGACATTTTTTAATGTATCGCAACTGTTCTAACTCGCCGTGGCTGGCGCAAATATGACTGAAAAAATATTGCGCATATGCATTCCGATAGATTTTTTGTCTGTTCTTTCCAATGGTAGTATCAGTTTTTTGAAAAAAGTTAGTTTTCATGGAGAAAGTTGACTTCAAAGTTAACTCAATTTGGCGGCAAGTATGTCCCCTAAAAACTGATCGGCATATGTGGCTGTTGTAGTTATTGAAGATGGTATATCAGAAGTGTACAATAAGTATAAAGTAGGGCCAAGTATACTGCCCTAAAGAACTCCAGCAAGGATGTCGTAGAGTTTGCTAACTTCGTTATCAATAATAATAATAATAATAATAATAATAATAATAATAATAATACAAAAATCAGAAAGTGTTTAAAGCTCACTCCAACTGTATAGTTATTTTAAAAGTTTTTATGTAGTTTTTCACTTTTGTTTTCACTGCACTATTACTTGTTAGGTTGTTGAAGGAACTTGAAAGTAGATGAAAATACTTAGCGGCTTGGTATTTGTAGCTTCTCTGACCAATAGTAGGCCTCTGTCTGGAAATTGTTAAAATCTTGAATCTTTTATTGACCCGCTTATTGATATATTCATAACTATGCTGATGGGACTGCTTTACTATAGCTTTTATTACGAAAGCTTGCCTCAAGTTGGGTGGTTTTACAGGGTCAGAATCATTCATTTGGAATATTTTCAGTATTTTCGTTTGTCGTCCTTGTAGTGTTCGTAATGCATTCTCGTAGACTCCTTCCCAACCAATAATGCCATAAATGACCACACTATGGAATAATCCATAATAAATCTGCAGCAGTTTACTTCAAGAAAGTACATGTTGTAGCCGGAAGAAAACGTATAACAGATTGTGACGGTCGACTCCCCGTGTCCACCGTACACAAGGCGTTCTCGCTGCCTGGCCGACTTTGTCGGTATCCGACGCGCCAGACAAGCGACAGCTTGTCGTCGGCCAGAGTCCGGCTAGCTCGATAAGGGTCGGGAAAAACGCGTGAAATACTACCTCTGGGTCGTGAGTACGACTCTCCTCCTGGAGGGGACGTCGACAGGTATGGAGCGGGGCCTCCGGTGACTGCAACACTGCACCTATAAAAACACCTGTAAACGAGAAAGTTCGCGAGAGAGAGAGGAAGGGAAAACGACGGGTCTTGTAAATAATACAACGGTGAATTTCAATTAAAACAAACGCTCTTTTATTGAAATTATTCTAATACTCATTCACACACAGCCGAAGCTGTCGCACACTCAATCACACCTGGTCGCGGACGCGAGCTGCGTTGCCGTTTGGAGGGTCGCGCGAGCGCGGTAATACCGAAAACCTACTCACGATATTCCTCGTTCTTGGGGCTCGCGACCACACGGGTGGACTCCGCGTTGCCGGGGTCCTAGGAGATGCTGCTGTCTTCCTCACGGTCGTCTGTTGGCCACAGACGTAAGCAGGGACGGGCCGGAAGGTTGAATTACGTCGCGTGGTTGTCGACTCTTGGTGCGCCGCACGTCTCGCCAGCACACACGCTCGAGCACGTGGCCACCAACTCCTCTCTTTCGCCAACACACACCAAAACCAACCTGCACTCACAACTCAACAGCACACTGCACTACTCCTCACACACGCTCTATTCCAATTCTCCACACAAAACTACTCAACAAACAATACAAAAAGGCTCGCAAAAATACTCGGCTCTGCTTGGCTCAACGGTCGGAATACAAGTGTCGCGATCGTCTGCTAATTGGCACGCACGGGCCGCGAGGGTCTTCGTGTCGCCTTGTGTCTCTCGTGTCTGTAGCAGCTCCGACTTCGCTGCGCGGGCTAGGCGAACGTAAACACAGCGATGTTTACGTTCGCGCGCCTCTGCGGTCGCGAGTCGGGCTCTACTTTCGCTCCTTGTACGCGCGTATACCTGCAAAAATACCACGCAATTATTATTGGCGTCGCCGACCTTATCAATTATTCAACCCTCGCAGCCGACGCGACGACGTTTGCAGTGGCACAACGTCACAAGATATTTTGTTCTATTTACAATTCTATCAACATGTCCGGCCCATCTCATGCAACAATCAAAGGCCACACCCAGGTACTTGGCACTTTCAACTTTCTTCATTGTAACATTGTTTACTAGGACCTCAATATTTACCAGCAATGAATCGCTGCCATTACCAAAAGTCACATACACTGATTTTTGAATGTAGAGTGTAAAGTGATTCTCGTACATCCACGTGTACACTATTTCAAGTAATGATATCATCCTTTGTTCCACTTCGAGCCACGTAACACCATCGACGACTGCAGCAGTATCATTTGCATACGCAGTAAAATTTGATAGAAGCACTAGAATTTTTTTGTTGTCTCCTGTTACATAATCATAAATTCCCTTATGTTTAGTTTTATACAATAAGCCTTAGGGCCCATTTTAAAAATCATTTTTTAATTTATTGAAATATCTTTGGGATTTTCCAACTCGTACCGGGGGCGTCTTAAGCGAAAAATTGCAATAATTGCTTAATTGAAAAAATGCACAAGTATAAGAATTAGTAAAAAAGTATGTCTGAATTTCTTCAGAATTGTTGAAACCTGCTATCACCTATTTTCAAAGGCCCAAATTTGACGCGTTTTTACGTTATTCTTAAGAATTTCAATGACCTATAAAATAGGTGATAGTAGGTATCACAAAATTTTAAAAAAATTTGGACCTATTCTTTGGCTGATTCTAAGACTTGTACATTTTGCAATTTTTCGTTTAAGACGTTCTATTACGAAAATCCTAAACATTTTTTAATGGTACCTAAGGCCCATTGGATTAAACTTAACGTAGAGGACTTCATTATTAGGTACCAAGAAACCAGAAAAAAAAATGTCAGGACATTTGGTGACCCGCATCTTATGTGATCTCCTTGTGAGTCGTTATTTTGGATTTTAATGTAATACTCGTTACCTGCTATTTCACGTAATTTTTTTTTGTAAAGGGTTTACGTTTTGAACGCCGCTTATAAATATCGGTGGTGGTTTACTTTTTTTGTCGGCGGGATTACTCTCTGTCATCATCTCTCCATCTTTATTCTATACCTCTTCATCTTCGTTTCGTTCGTCTTCTGAATTTTTGCTCTCCAGAGGCGAGAACGAGTTTTCCATTGGTACTGAGTTCGAGAGCCAGTAGCCAAATGTCATCTGTCTCTAGATCGGGAAGATCCTGTTTTCTGGAATGTTTCTGAATCTTTTTCGGGTTTGAGTTACCCAGTTCGAGGGTGATTTGGCATCATCGCGGGCAGTGAATTTGAAAGCCCACTTTGCCCACCATTTCGGCTTTATTTTTATGAGTAAATATTTCATCATTAAATGTTTACTTATTAACACCCTCTATTAACTTATTAACGTCTTATTAACTTATTAACACTTATTAACGTCTGTTCTACTCAATGTTAAAACGTACACTAAACATTTAGACATACATTTTCTAAAATAAAATATTAATTCTATAGGTATAATCCTGATTCGAATGAAGTTGTCACTTTAGAAGATGATTTCTACTCTAGTAATCGAAGAGGTGAGTCATTTTAATAACAACAATATTAAATAATTCGAATTCAAAGTAATAGTGTGACGGAGCACAAGCCGTGAGTAAGCGAGTCGAGCACTCGCCGAAAATGCGTCGCGCCGAGACTGCCGCACGCGAGTATGTATGAGTGAGTGCGTGTGTGTCTCCCTTCTCTCGCGCGTTTTCAGGTAGATGATAAGGAGTGGCCCGTCGGACTGATGATGTGAAGCCAGGAGCGTGGCCCAGTATCAACACGTGCGAGAAGGACAGAAAAGAGCCGAGCAGACACCGGGCGAATTCCTTTCGCTACGAGGCAGGGAGATTAGAATAAGCTGGCGAGGGAGAAGGCCACGCAAGAAGGAGAGTGATAGAAAGACGCAGGAAAACGCGAGCTAGTGCGTGAAACCGAAGTT